GTTTACAGGATCAAGTGGTGCAGATGTCTTTATAGCGGCTGGCTTCATTTTCAAACTCCCACAGAAGACTAGAGTACTAGGTAGTTAGCACTAACTACTTACGGAACTTTAAAATTTTAAACTTCCCAACTCTTTGTGGACTGTGACCACTAAAGATGAAATCCTTTGACGTAAGAGTGTTTGCATGAATTTTAAACATCAAGGTATATAGCTCATTAAAGCCATCAACTGTCTAACATGAAGTCCTTAAAAAGAATTCCCTGACTTTCCTTCATAATTTTGGTGAATTATGTATGTGAGCTGGTGGAGGTCAGATGATGTGGGAAGTTGGGAGGCAAGGTGAGAAGGAGAGATAAATTTGGGAAAAGTTGGTTCAATTAGGGCACCAACATTGGAGCTCATGGTGCCTGAGAAGGACTGTTCTAGGCATCCTAGAAGTCAGCTATTTTGTGGGGGAAATAGAACAGGTCCCTTGAGGTTTCCAAACAATGGTCTTCAGACCCATGCTGGGCTGTGATGAAGTTTTTGCTAGTCCTCGGCAAAATGGAAAAAAGACAACATAATCAAGGTTTAAATTTTTTTCCCCACAGGACAAAATCTATTCCTTTGTATTATCCCACATGACTTTCCTTTAATTTGGTGCTAAAAAATGTCTTATGAAGAGATACTGATAAAGGATAGTTGTTTTGATTAATACTTAGGCATTGAAGTAAAAAGTTGGAAATCTTTCACAGTCTTAATTTTTTTCTTTGAGATTTTACTGGTCTGCGAAATCCAAAAGCCTGGGAATCACTGAGTAGTCAGATCACTCATTTTATAGCTGAAGGAATTAAAGCTCAGAGTAGGGTAATGAGTGGCTCAAGATAAAACCCCAGTTTAGTCAGACAGGACTGATGGTGGCTCTGGGCAGGGCATTCCTCCAACTGTCCCTTTTCTGTCTTTGCAGTGTCCTTAAGCAGGTTTTACTCCACGTCAGCACCTTCCAAGCAAAGCAGATCCTATCCAGGGAAGCTCTTTTAATCATCTAGACTCTAGCCTATTGTCCCAAAGTACCACCAAATCACTGGCACCTGGCACCGTTTCTCCCCTCCCCTCCACTCCCTTCTCCACCTCAATATACCAGACCCTTAGCCCCACCCGTGACCTACTTCTGAGCTTTCTTACTTCAAAAATAGTTGGCTTTGGAGAAATTACTTAGATCCTCATACTGTTTCAAATCAATAATTCTAGATTTTATTACCATTGTATTCATTGTATGTATCTATTCCTTGTCTGCATTATGCATGTGTGTCTCTCCTTCCCCAGCTGGATTATGAACAACAGTTATGCTTTCTCTTCTAGTCCGTAGCACACTCCTACTCTATTAGGTACTCAAAGACATGTGGAATTAATAATGAATAAATTAACACAGTTTTTGCACATGGAATGCTTTAATAATTCCAAAAATATAGAAACTTCTTCATTACAGTCTTCTTGGTTTGCAAATGACAATCAGGGAACCAGGGGCCTGGGCCTGGATGGGAACAAGGACGAAGCCCTAGAACCCATTTATTTCTGGGTCTCTGGTCAGTTTTATTTGTAAATGGGAAGGGAAGAAAATAACAGGAAGTGGAGGCAAGAGGAAGAAGAAATGAAGAATTCCAAAGTGAGGAGAGGAATTCTGGAGTGACTCCACCACAGGCCTGTCCCCTGCCTCATCCCAGGTGGCATCCTGTCATCCAGTAGGAGAGTGGCCGGCCCGCACAGTGCAGCCTCCATTTTACCCTGAGGAGAGAAAAGCCTGGTTCTTGCTTCCACCTGACCAGCTGCTTCCCCGCCCACGTGACCCGGAACTTAGTGAGGGTTCAGCACAGAGCGACGCCCAGCATCCCCTTCATTCCCAGCAGTCTAATCTGTCCTTCTTTGGCCCCTCTGATTCTTCCTTCCAATCCCCTTATCTATGTTGTTTGCCCTCTTCCCCCATTCAGTTTGCTTCCACATTTCTTTTTTTTTTTTTAATAGATGTACTGAGGATTGAACGCAGGACCTCCTGCATGCTAAGTATGCACTGTACCACTGAGCTCTTACCCTCCCAGGCTTTCAAAATTTTATTATTATAATTATTTTTTGCTTCCACATTTTCAAATCCTTATCTCCCTCTGAAGGAGAAGAGCACTGTGTTACAGGGCTGAGAGTTACTAAAAATAATAATAATAAATTAAAAAAAAACCCAGGGGCAACCACTGACTTTCTCTCCATAATAGTCATCAATTCTTTTGCATGTGTTTTTAGAGAATGCAAGA